GGTGTGATCACATGTTGCTGAGCTCAAGTGTTGCAGAGCTCAAGTGTTGCTATGTGCTTGTCATCTCTGAGTGAGCAGTTCATCTCTCCAGTAAATTGCCTGTCTTAGTAAAAAGTAATCTCTTGCAATTTTCTCTTCCCTATGACTTTCTCTTAATAATGTTTTCTTTTCTCTAGCTTACTTTATTAAAAGAATACAGTATTAAAAAGAGAAAAAAGAATATAGTATATAATACAAAATAATAAAAAGAGAAAAAAGAATACAATATATAATACAAAATATAGCATACAAAATATGTGTTAACCAACTATTTATTGGTAAAGCTTCCAGTCAGCAGTAGGCTGTGAGTAGTTAAGGTTGGGGGGGTCAAAAGTTATATATGGGTTTTTGACTATGTGGGGATGGGATTGGTGACCCTAACCCCTGAGTTGTTCAAGGGTCAACTGTACTAACATCAAACAATTGGAAAGTGAAATAAGAAAACATTTACAATAGCAGCCCTCCCCCATCAGTTTAATAAAAAATGTGCAAGATCGCCACATAAAAACTACAAAACATTGCCGAGAGAAATAAATGACAGCTTAAATAAAAGGAAGGCTATCACGTTCATGGATTTGGAAGACTTAAAATTGTTAAAATGTCAATTATCTCTTGACTTACCCATTCATTCCCAATTAAAACCCCCATAAGTTTGGGGGACAGGGAAGGAGATAGACACATGCTAGTTTTAAAACATACTTGAAAATGCAGAAGGGCCTAGATTAGCCAAGAGAATTTTAAAGATAAAAATTAAAATGTTTATATTACCAGAAATTGACTCTTTATAAAAAGCTACAGTAACTAAGACAATGGTACTGATGTAAAAATAGAAAAACAGTAGTGAACTGTATGGTGTTCAGAAACAGACCCTTTCAAGTATGGTCACCTGATTTTTCTACAAAGCTGACGCTGCAGTTTACTGAGGGAAAGGGTGGTAAATGGTGCTGAATCAATTGGATATCTGCGTGAATAAAAATGAACCTGAACCTTTACTTCAACCCATACACAAAATTAATTTGTGGTGGATTATAGAATGAAATGGGCTAAAATAATAAAGTATCTAGAAGGAAACAAGAAAATTTCCTTAGAAAAGGCAAAGATTTATTGAACAAGATGCAAAAAGTACTAACCAAAAAAGAAAATACTCATTAAATTTAATATTGTTTTAAATTTAAATTAATTAAAGAACTGTTCATCAATAGACAGCACTAAGAGATGGAAAACACAATTCAGTTTTAATAAGAATGAACAAAAAACTTAAAATGAACTTTTTCAAAAAAGGATATCCAAATGGCCTTAATATTAAGCATATCCGAAGGTACTCAGTGACCTTAGTTATCAGAGGAATGCAAATTAAAATTACACCCAGCAAAATAGCATATTAAAGATACCAATAATACCCAGTGTTGGCCAAGATGTGTAGCAACAGTGTTGGCGGGATTGTAAATTGTTGTAACCACTTTGGGAAACTGTTTGGTGGTGTCTGCTACTTTACTAAGCCTTCTCTGTGACCCAGCAATTGTACTCATTTTATATATATACTCAAGAGAAATGTGCATGAATATTCATAACATTTGTAATAGCCTCCAACTGGAAATGACCCAAATGGAATAGATAAATATATTATGGTATATTCATACAATGGAATACTTCAAATGATTGCTAAATGCAATTATGTGATGGATCACAGATATGATAATAATAATAATGAGCAAAAGAGTATCAGATATAATAATAATAATAATAATGAGCAAAAGAGTATATACTGTATGTTTCTTTTTTATCTAAAATTCAAAACAGATATGATAATAATAATAATGAGCAAAAGAGTATATACTGTATGTTTCTTTTTTATCTAAAATTCAAAACAGGTCAAATTAATCTGTAGTGAAAGAAATAAGAGAACTGTATTTCATTGGTCATTACTATTATTGGTTAGGGCCCTTCCTTCAGGGTGTTGCAGGAAGCACTCTGTCTTGATATGGATGGTGATTACTCAATCATTGAGTTATTTTTATACATGTTGAGTTAGTATGTGTTGCTGTGTGTGTGTAATACCTCAAAATATTTTCTTAACAGTGATATTTGCTACAATGGGGTTGGTTTGGAATTATTACATGCTGAAATTAATTTTTCAGGAAATTTTTAATCCAAAAATTTATTTGGTGAAGTGCACAGTGTGGCCTTTGAGTTCACAGACTTTGGTTCTAAATCTTTCTCTGCTGCTTTTCATTCCCTTCAGTCTTATAAAACCTGGGCCCTATGATCTTGTGCAAATTATTTAATTTCTTTCAATCATTGTATGGTGGAGATGATAACTTCCCTTTCTAATCCTGGGATATCAAAAGGATTAAATGAAATCATTGATGTGAAAGTGCTTTGCACCTAATGAAGTATGCAGATTTATATTATTTTCATAATTCAGTGAGACATTATGTCTAGGTTCCTATACCCAAATACTGGAATCCCCCATAGATATTGTAACAGCAATCTAGTTGCCCTATGTTACAGGTCACCCTGTTTCTTTTCTTTTTTCAAATGATTGTGAGAAATTGAAGTGCTCTTAGAAATCTGGGAGTACATAAGGGAGTAGGAAGACAGCTGGGATTGCTTTGAGACACCTGCGTTATTATCCCAGACACTGGCTGATTCATTTCTAAGATTTGGTTACTTGTCAACGGTTTAACCTTTGGAAGAACCTTTAGCTTCTCTAATTGCATTTCATCAACCCTTATGATGTAATTGATTATGAAATGCACTTTTATTTTATGTGCAACCAAGGGAGAAAAAGCAACTGTCAATTATAATTGTAAGAAGCTATTGATTGCAAGATATCACAACTTGACAGAAATTAATTAGGGGAAAATGTACGTCTTAGAATCAGTGAAATAGTAGAGGTTGTTATGCAGTGTGTTGTTTTTTTTGGTAAGTTTTTAGTTTGTGTGGATTAGCATGACTTTTAAATTAAAGCATTTTATAGCTCTGTAAAAATGTTAGTCATAGTTACACAATCACTCACTTGGGAGGTCAAAATTAAACACATAATTTACAGAGAAAATAAAATATGAGGCAACATATTCATTGCTGTAATTTGGACACTTTAAATTGACACATTGAAGTGACCCACACTGTCTTTTTACTTACTTAGTAATGATTACCATCAAGTTACAACTAAATTTTGGTAACCTAGTGTTTTATTACTACAGAGTCACAACATAAATTGTGAAATATTTTATAAGAGCCTAAAGTCTTGTCCATTGCTTTTATCTCTTAACAGCTAGTACATGATAGGCTCTCAAATATTTGTTGAATGAGTTAATAAAAAGTTTCTGAATAATCGCTTTTAGCTTTGTATTTGTCATTTGAAAGCAACCAGAGATTTTTAATTCTTCAAGGTCAATACTTTTTTCCCCTTAAACCTAAGTTTTCCACATTGAAAACTAATGCCAGGATTAAGACCTGTTCGTGCATCTGAGCTAGTATTCCAGATACTTAATGGAAGATATAAGGCTAGATGTCCTTTTTGGTCTTAGAAAAATCCAAATGTGCGTAAGAAGTAGGTAATTAATGCTTGAGAGCTAGTACTAACGTAGAAGCTATGCTAGGTTCCCCCTAATAAAAGCAGTTCTACTGATGATTGTTTTTAATTTCAGTAATAGTCTTATAAAACTGGCATATTTGGGGCTGGCCCGATGGCGCACTGCTATAGTGCACCGCTTGGGAAGCGCGGCGGCGCTCCCGCCCGAGGGTTCGGATCCCACATACAGACCGGTTCCCGCTCACTGGCTGAGCGAGGTGCGGGAGCAACACCGAGGGTTGCAATCCTGTTGCCGGTCCCGGTCCGGTACGGGGGCGACACTGAGGGTTGCGATCCGTTGCCGGACACGGAAAAAGACAAAAAAAAAAAGCATATTTGCTAAAGCACATTGTCTTTGTCTTCTCTTTTATTTCCTTGTTACTTTTATGTTAATATGTGATGGAATTAATGGAAATATAGCTTTTGCATGTGGGGGCCTGACTTTTTTTTTTTAAGCCTGTCTCATTCACCTGACAAAGGAATCATAGCAATGTTTAGTGAGAAATGCGTGGACTAAATTGTAAATGGGAAACAGTAGGGGTATATAGAAGTATAGTTTGTTTTTTTGTTTTTGTTTTTAAATGCCTTTTCAATTGAATGAGAGCTTAGCAGTATATTTAAAAATAAAGGGAAAGAGCCAGTAGAAATGATGAGAGGAAATGATTACATGTTCAGTTCAATAGGGCAAATAAGGGACTTTCCTCTCCCCATGTACTATTCCACTCCTGTCCATTTCTGAAGTTACTGAAAGCCACATTATGTTATGGATTTTATTGCTCATTTATGTGAAAAATGCTTTATCTAAATAGCCTTTAGAGGTCGTAATATAATGCCCTATTTTGAATACAGTGATAAGAGTTTAATAAATAGCTCACAACCTCTTTTATATTTGATCAGAAAATATCTCAAATTCTTGGGACTGCTGATAATATTCCAAGGAAATTTGCGAAACTAAATCACCTACTGACAGCTACTTTTTAATCTCCCTTTCTTCATAGCTGCTGGTTCTTAGTAATGCTATCCTGTCCTCGTGTGAGATGCAAAACTTGCTTTGATGAGAAAGTAGGCCAGACCTTCAGGGGTGCTGTCCCTGAAAACTTTTAACTCTCATGGGCTGCTGGACCTCAGGTTGGCCACTGGAGAGCAAAGAAGAGAACTGTATTTCATTGGCATCAGATGAGGAGCATCATCAGGAACCAGCAACAATGGAGATAGGAGCCAAAGATCATAGAATAAGTTCACTGTTAGCCATAAGAACCAACAGGGTAGTTTGCTGCCTTTGTGACTTTTCTGGTCTTAATAATGTGGGCATGATGCTTTCTTAAGGATTATTCTTTTATGGGTAAATTTTAGAGAACTGATGATTTTATTCATTGTTTATCAGTACGAGGATGTCGTCCAGGAAAGATTGTACAGATGACTGAAGCAGAAGTTCGAGGCTTATGTATCAAGTCTCGGGAGATCTTTCTCAGCCAGCCTATTCTTTTGGAATTGGAAGCACCACTGAAAATTTGTGGTATGTAAATGGATAAAGTTGGGAACAACTCTTTTGAATCATGTTTTCCCTTCCATATTTACATTGAGGATAATTTAGGTGAAATGTTTTAAAAAATTTTTTTTAAAGAGAAGATTGATAGGTTTTATTAAATAAAATATAAAAATGTAAACTTTCATAAAAACAAGTTACAGACAAGAAAATATTTGGTACATATACAACAGATAAAAAGATTGCTATTCTTTATATATAATGAGTTCTTAGAAATAAATGAAAAAGATTATATAATAGAAAAATAACAAAAAATAGGGAGAGGCAAATCTTAGAAATTCAGATGACCAGTAAACATAAGGTCCTCAGACTCACTAGTAATCAGTGAAATGCTATTTAAAACCAGTCCCCAGCTCTAGTCAGACTACAAAAACTGTCAAAGATTGATATTTGGTGTTGTCAGGGATGTGGAGAAATGGGCATTCCAGTACACTGGTTAGAAAAAAAAAAGGTATGGAATTTTAGGAGTCAATATGGTGATATCTGTGGTCTTCTAACTTTGTTATGATAATTTAAACTTATTTTGAAGATATATTACTTTACAATTTGTTCTTTTAAGTCTTCCGGTGGCTTTTAGCCAAAAGTAAAAACTTATGACCTTAAGTTGAGTGATCTCATTTTTGTAACTAGAAATATTGCTGCTTAGAAAGTCACATTTTTCTCTAATTCACATAACATTAGGAAATGATATAAGTAACGTATCTGGCTTTTGGTTTGATAATTCAGGTATTCTTTGTAGTAGTTACTAGTGTGTATGACATCGCTTTTGTGGACTTACTGTCAGTTTTTGCTAGAACAAGGATAGTTTGCTATATGCAAAAATTTTCTTTCTCCTGCATGTTTCTTAGTGATCCACATTCACATGATGTAAACTGCAGATGCTTAGTGTGCTATTTAAATACTTTTTATTCTCTTTCTGAATGTGCTTTATTAAATCATGTGCTTGGTGCTTCTTTGTACAGTGCCCAGCAAATAAGATACTAAGTAAATGTTTGTTGAATGGATTAACAGGTAGTAATTTGGAATTTTGTGGAAACGATCAGTCTCTTCTATGAATTTAAATAAAGCACATGTAGTTACTTATAGATGATCTTTAAAATGATTTGAAGTACTCTTTAAAGGTACTCTTTAAAATGTTTTAGTATAGAAATAACTTGAAGGTAATAGAAGTTGTTTATACTACATATTTCTAAGTTCTTTCTATTTCTCTTCCTATTTAGTATAACAAAGTGACCTAAATTAAATTACCAGATAATAAGATAATATATTTGTTGTCTATTGTTGTATAACAAATTACCCCAAAACTCTGTGGCTTATAATAACATTAATTTACCATCTCATAGTTTTTGTGGGTCAGGAGTTTGGACACAGCCTAGCTGGGTCCTCTGGTTCTGGGTCTCTCACAAGGCTCCAGTCAAGGTGTGATCTGGAGCAGCAGTCATCTGAAGGCTCAACTGTGAAAGGATTCAGTTCCTTATGGGCTGATGGACTGAGGGCCTCAGTTTCAAATGAGCGGTTGGCTGGAGGCCTCCCTCAGTTCTTTGCTACATGGGCTTCTCCATAAGACAGCTGGCTTCATCAGTGAGCATGGAAGAAGGTAAGAGAGTACAAGTAAGATGGAAGTCACATTCTTTTGTTAGCTAATCTTGGAAGTGACAGCCCGTCTCACTTTTGCTGTAGCCTATTTGTTAGAAGCAAGTCGCTAGGTGTAGCCTGCACTCAAGGGGAAAGGATTATACAAGGGTATGAACATTGGGGACCATTTCTTAGAAGCTGCTAACAACAGTTAATCAATTTTTCTAAAACTAACTTTTTCTGTTTTTAGGAGATATTCATGGACAGTATACAGATTTACTGAGATTATTTGAATACGGAGGTTTCCCACCAGAAGCCAACTATCTTTTCTTAGGAGATTATGTGGACAGAGGAAAGCAGTCATTGGAAACCATTTGTTTGCTATTGGCTTATAAAATCAAATATCCAGAGAACTTCTTTCTCTTGAGAGGAAACCATGAGTGTGCTAGCATCAATCGCATTTATGGATTTTATGATGAATGTAAGTGAAAATAAAAACTTAGAAAGTGATTAATGGAAACATTTCCTAATAATTTTCTGGTTCAAAAGAGTTCTTTGAATTCAGAGTATTTTCGAAATATGATCTACCAGGCATAGGCCCAGGAAGGAAGAACCTGAAACTGGGATACATGTTACTAATGAAGTTGGTTCCTTGGGTTCTCCTTGGTCATAGTGTTTCAGATTGACTGCAGTTTATGAGCCTAAAGAGGCCCTCTTTTAATTAGTTTACCTGGTTAAGAAAAAATATCCAGGTGAAAATGAAGGTCACTATAGACAGTGGCTTCTGATTTTTTGTGTGTCCATTAAGTTTTAGCTGTCACCATTCTTGTGATATGACAGAAGCTTTTTATTAGCTCTTTACAAGAACTATTGAGAATTTCTGTGAAACTTTTTTTTTTTTTGTCTTTTTTCATGACCGGCAACGGATCGCAACCCTCAGTGTCACGCCCATACCGGACCGGGACCGGCAATGGGATCGCAACCCTCGGTGTTGCGCCCGCACCTCGCTCAGCCAGTGAGCGGCCGGTCTGTATGCGGGATCCGAACCCTCGGCGGGAGCGCCGCCGTGCTCGCAAGCGGCGCACTGTAGCAGTGCGCCACCGGGCCGGCCCAGAATTTCTGTGAAACTTTTTAAAAGTTGAAATTTATTATTAGAATTTTAGTTTATGCATACAAATCTAGAGAGGAAAGGGTGTTGAATACTCTGGAATATCCTTATTTTATTGAACTTTTTTTTCATCAGTAGGCAATCACTGATTTGCTGTTGTGTAGTAGTGTTTCCAAGTGCAATAACTAAATTATCTTACTACATTTGATATTTTGGTTTTGTTAAGTTAATTATAATTTATAATTATAATTTATAATTTATGTTTAGTTAATTATAATTTAGAATCACTTACAGTGATTTTCAAATTGAATTCATTTTTTACTGCTGAATTCCTCATTAAAGTCTACTTTTGCTTATTTCCATCCTTAAATATGGTAGAGTCCTATTTGAACCCATTATCTCCTGATTCATATAATAATTTGACAAATGTGGAGGACATTTTATATATGCCTGGCACTATTCTAAGTGCTGGGAATACAGCAGTGCATGAGACAGATGACCTCTATTCTCATGGAGCTTATGTTCAAATGAGAGTGATTCTATATTTGATTTTATATTGCATTTTTATTTCTGAGATGTAGTGTGTGGTTTGAATTATTTAAATCAGACCAGTAGAGAGGAATTGTGGTTGGAGTACATCAAACTATAACCTACGTCTTTCTAAAACTACATCAGAAACAGAGGTGTATTCTTAAAGGACAAAAAGTGGGGCCGGCCCGGTGGCGCACTGCTACAGTGTGCCTCTTGGGAGTGTGGAGTTGCTCCCGCCGAGGGTTCGGATCCCACATACAGACCGGTTCCCACTCATTGGCTGAGCGAGGGGCAGGCGCAGCACCGAGGGATGTGATCCCGTTTCTGGTCCCGGTCCGGTGTGGGCGCGACACTGAGGGTTGCCGTCCGTTGCCGGACACGAAAAAAGACAAAAAGGAAAAAGAAAAAAAAAAAAAGGATAAAATGTGGGCATGAGTACCCTTGAGGTAAGCAATGACATCAAATGAAATAATGTGTGGGAAAACAGCTCATAAACAGTGCTTTGAGTCATACTTACTCATCAAGAGATGGGCTATAGCGTAAAAGCATAGGAAAATTAGTATTCGTGTCTTTCATCCCTTCCTTGGATTAGAAGTTGCAACTTTTTGCAAATTGAGGACAATCAAGTAACTCCAAAAAGATGTTAAAAGTTAAGGATGTCTTTGTTGTAGCAATTTATGCTAGGCCACAGGTAAATCATAGCCTTTGTGTCTCTAATTATATTTGTTATAGTGCCGAGTTGTAATTCACTCACACAGGAATACGAGTTAAGCTCTTGGAAATTCTCTTTTCTTGGCAGTAAGTTTATAGACTGTGTTACTCAGTGCATTAGAGTTACAGTGGACAGGCTCCAGAGGAACGCTTTTCACTTCTGTCTACTTAATTGGCATGTATTTAACTGGTGCACATGCTGAAGGGAAAAAAGGCACTAGTAGCCTGTTCGATTGTTTCAAATTTTCCATATTATAGTGATCTTAAAAGACAAAATTGTTTGATACATTTGTTTTATAAGACATCTAGCACAATCTTTGAAGTCTTTGTAAATTTATTAAAGGTTTATTGTATTGTTATTCTGATTTATTTTATTTATAACCTTTTAAAAAGTATACAAAATACAATTATTCATTATGGAAAAAGTGCTACATAAGTATAAAGAAGAGTATTGAAATAATTCATAAGATGGAGAACAAATTAGAACAATTTGGGGTTTTTTATTTATTCTATTCTGCTTGTTCTTTTTCTAGGCAAACGAAGGTTTAATATTAAATTGTGGGAGACCTTCACTGATTGTTTTAACTGTCTGCCTATAGCTGCCATTGTGGATGAGAAGATCTTCTGTTGTCATGGAGGTAGACTAGTAAATTTGCCTTATGGATTTTTCTTATTGTTCTTTTATTATTCAGAAAAGACCTGTGAAGGGGCTGGCCAGTTGACTCAGTTGGTTGGAGGGCAGTGTCATAACGCTAAGGTCAAAGGTTTGGATCCTCGCACTGGTCAGCCACCAAAAATAAATTTAAAAAAAGGAAACCAGAAAAGACCTATGATAATATGATAATTAAGATGCTATGGAGAAAGAAAGCAGTGCTTGTGTGAAAACTCAAGTGATTAAAACTGTTTTAAACCTGGCTAAAACCTCTTTTCATAATTAGAAATTTATGATTATAAATAATGAACATTTAATATTTATCTTTAGAGAGTTTCACATATAAAGAGCATAACTAGAGTTTTGTTTGGAAAAGATATCTTCCCCTTTGCTTCAATTTTTGAAAGAAAGATACCCCTGTTCTCAGTAAAAATGAGAGGATCATTATCTTTCTGCCTATATTGAATACTTTTCTTCAGAATCCAAATATAATTGAGTTTGAGGCTTCATGCAATATGTCTGCTTTGGTCCTAAAAATAATTTTTTGGTAGAATGGTAAGTTATTTTGTACGATTTGCGAAATAAGCTTGAATATGTAAAAGTTCACTTGAAAAAATTAACCTGTGTCTAGCACTTGGATAGATGCCATGGAAATATATACATACTGTATCAGTCCATTTCTGTTGCTTATAACATAAATGCCTGAAACAGGGTGATTTATGTAAAGAAAATGAAATTTATTGCTTACAGTTTCAGAGGCTGGGAAGTCCAGAGTCCAGGGAACACATCTGGTGAGGGTGTTCTTTGGTTGTGGCTGTACAGCAGCGCAGGGTCTCACATGGCAGAAAAGAGCGGAGCGGAGAGACTCTCACATGCTCTCCTTTTAAAGCCCTCAGAACCATCCCATGACCACCATTATTAATCCATTCAGTAGACATGGTCCTTAGGATCTAATCATCTCTTCAAGAAGGGCCCACCTTTCAATTACCATAGTTGGATTTCCCACCCTCAACAGTTATAGTGGGGATTAAGCTTCAGTGACTTAAAACTTGGGAGACACAATTCAATTTGTATCAGATAGTATATGATCTGGTTGTCTTGAAGAATTAAACCCATTGATAAAACATATTTATGAAACAGATAATTGAGTAATAAAAAGGATATAATTATGTGAGTACTTCTGGAGACAATAATTATTATCAGAAGTCAGAAAAAGGAGATAATTGTTGGTCAAATGTTTATGGAGGCATGGATTTTACAGGATAAATAGACTTTGGAGATGTGAAAAGGACTTGACAGTCTTTGTATGTTGTCTAGTTTAGGGAGTGTGCAAGGACTGGCCCAACTAGAATGTCAAGTACATGTTGGGGAGTGACGAGATCAGATTATAGAGATTTAAATACTGAGCAAAGGAGTTTGTTGAATAGTTTAATTGCTATATCGGATTTTTTTGTACTGGGAAGTAATGTAATGAAAATAGTGTAAGAAAATTAGTTTTTTGTTAATATATGGGGAGAATTAAAGTGGCAAAACACTGAAAAGATAGATGTACTATTCTCTGACAGAACATAATTTGCTCTATTAGTTGGAACGTGTTTTCCAATATTAAACATTTAAGGAATTATAGTTCTTGCCCATTAGTATAGCTAAGAATAGAAAAGTGGTAGTATGGAATTTGAATGATTAGCTTTCATTCCTTGAGATGAAACTTGGGTTGCCTACAAGAGAAAAATAATAGCTTATATTTATGTACCACTTTACAGATTGCAAAGTATTTTTTATGTGCTTCTTGTTTATTCTTCTGACCAATAGTTGATGCCTTCCTGAAGATAATGAGCATGTAGGAATGGGATGTAAAAAGGTCTTAGGGGACCATGTGAGGCATTTTAACATGGAAGTTAAAGTGTTTAAGATTAGATGGTAAGAAGTAGCAAGAGTGGTAGGAAGGGTTGCAGTGGCGTATGTTCCTGTGAAGGACAGGGAATGGTTGGAAAGAAAGAATGGTGGGGCTCTTTCCTTGGGAAATCTTTTGAAATGTAAGGGAATTTCATTTCTCTGGTAGGGAAAAATGGAGAAGATGACATAATTAGAATTCCCTATCATATCAATTTGAGATTCATAATACCTCAAAATGTTGACCTTTAAGATAACATTAAAAGGAACTCTTGAAGTATCTTTATTTTCACACAGTGAATCTACTTATGATTAAATGTTTTTTGAGTGACTTAAAATTGTTTAGCTGTCAGGACTGCATCTCATTTTTTTATTTATAGGACTGTCACCAGATCTTCAATCTATGGAACAAATTCGGAGAATTATGAGACCCACGGATGTCCCTGATACAGGTAAGTACATAATAATTTCATTAATTAATTTGTGTAAAGTGTTGGCATATTTGAACTTAATTATACTTAGTGAAAGTAGGATTGGTTTATGTAATAAAAAGAGCTCTTTTTTATAGTTAATAAGTTAACTACTTTATTTTATTTTGTAATAATCATTACCCAAAATACAGAACTTTAAAATTTTTATATAATATGATTCTGTCACACTTACTTTATCACTAAAAAGACTTGCTCTTGATTCCTTGTACCTTCCTGTCTTTATAGATTCCTTCATTCATATTGGCATTGGTAATGTCCTTTAAAAACTTAAGTTAGTCAAAAGTTTTTTTAATTAAAATAGTCTGTCTTTCTTAGTCATGGATAAAGTGACCTTTTAAATTATCTAGTAGTTTTCTGTTATTTTCTGCATCATCTGTATTTCACATTTTCAGAGCTCTTAAGGCTCTAGAATTGTGTGGCCAATTTTATGAAAATGTGAAAAATGTATGTGAAAACTTGTGAAAAATTATGAAAATTGACTATTTAGACATTAAGAACGTTGAGTTGTTAAAATCAAAGCAAAAGTAAATTTCAGTTGTGGGTAAAATGCTGTGTTGATTAACAAATTAGCCTAATATAACTTTATAAGTAAGTGATAGGCACATTTGCCACTTACCCTAATTTTACTATTGGCTCTAAAATGTTGTTTCTCATATTTGAATACCGGTGTATGTATTAAGGTATCTAATCATGGCATTCATGTCGTGAAATGCCATAAAGACCTGTTGAATTGAATGTAGCTAAGTTGCTTTGCTTCCTCAGTTTATTTAGCTTTTGCTTAAAACAACATTGCTTTTCTGTGTGGAGTTTTCTGACACCAAATGTGTGTGTTTTTTTCACATAGCCAATTCTTTGACACCAACTGAGTGTTCAATTTGGTTCTGACATTAGCTCCCAGAGTTAGCATAGACTCCCATAGGTTAAGGGCTCCATTCCACAAGACTGCCCCACTTCAGGTGCCAGCCACAAGTGGGGTCCCAAGGTGATCCACACTTCTGTCTGGCTGACTGCAAACTCAGAGGTTCCCACAACCCCCTCCTTAGGTGCTTTAATTAAATTTACTGGTTTATTATAAAGGATACAACTCAGAGATAGCCAAGTGGAAGAGAAACATAGGGAATGGTACTAGGGGTAGAGGAGGGATAGCCCAGATCTTCTCTGTACTCTCTGGGCATGCTACCTTCCCAGCATACCAGTGTGTTCACCAACCTGGAATCTCCCTAAATCTTGTTGTTTATAAGGGTTTTTTTATAGAGCTCAGTTTAGTAACATACTATATATGAAAAAAAAACAATGGCCCTTTAGCTTACTGATAAGAGGATTATTTATTGGTAATTTTGTAAAGGGGAATTGATTATTCCTCAAGTAAGTATTGGGCTGAGTGATCATTAGGTTCATTTCCCACTCTTAAGATTCAGACTCTTAGACAGATAAGCACTAAAAAATATTCATGGACCAGTGCCTGAGCAAAACATGGCTAAACCTCTAAATTGGAATGTTAAAAACGTGCATTTTTATCACTTGTTTTCAAGTGTCATTGGATTGTTTTGCTCATTGTACTGAAAGCCTGATAATATCACTCTAAGTGCTGCTTATGACTGCACATCAAATAGTGTAGTCATGAGTACACTATTATAAATAGCGTGTGTATGTGTTTTTTATAGAGTCCTTTTCAACCAGAGAGGACTTATGAGTTGAGACTAACTGTCCCAGTGGATTTTTGTGCTGCTGGATTTCTTTAAACATCATAGTGGGAGCTTAGGAAATATCAATGAGAGAAATTAAGAGTACATTGCCACTAATTCTTCAAAGGGTTTTTCAAAGGTCTTCAAAGGATAATTCTCCTATTGAGACAAGCTGTACTATGACTGAAAATGAGATCTCCTTTCCTGCAAAGGTGTATTATGAAGTTTTTGGATTCTTGGGGGAAAAAAAAAAGTCTTAAAACTGACTCATCCCATTAAAAAAAAATCTTCCCTTAGCCACCATGGTTCTTAGAAAACTACTTAATATCTCAGCATCCACCCTGCTCTTAATCTCACTGCAATTTGACTTTGAGTCTCTCTCAAGATTTCCACTGAAGATACCCAGGTAGATATTTTTAGTCCTGACCTCTTTTTCTAGACCCAAAACATTACTAAAGTCAGGGGTCTATCTGATTTGTTTCTCCATATTACCAAGCCTCAGTGGAAATGTTTTCTTTCTCCAAATTGATCTATAGATCAAATTCTAATGAAATCACAATTGAAGGTTTTATGGAATTAAACAGGCTGACTCTGAAGTTTATGTGGAAGAACAAAGGATCAACATAACAAGACAATTCTGAAGAAAAAAATTAAGCGGGATTCTGGCCCAACTAAGTATAAAGACATTAAAAAGCTCTAGTGTGTTATTGGCTCAGGGATAAGTAAAATAAACTAATGGAGTAGACTATGGTGCTTAGAAACAGACTGTGTCACTCTGTAAGGAAAGGATGAAATATTCAGGAAATGCTGCTGGTTCGGTTGTTTATTCAGATAGGGAAACTATACACAAAAGATTAACAGCCTTTTTCATTTATTGTTGTGTTCAGTGTGTGCTGTACACTTATTTCATATTTTGGAAAGTACTCCCTTAAGAGAGTACTGGCAAGATTTGTATGGTTGCTTTAACAAAGTGGGTAAGTTAGATAAACTGGGATACCTTGGGGGCAAGGGATTGTTTAGTAAAGGGTAGGAGGGCAGGAGAAGAATTGAAACGTGATAAAAGTATGCTTTATTATATAAATTTTGGGTTTTTTTTATTGCTGTTCTTTAAAGGTTTGCTCTGTGATTTGCTGTGGTCTGACCCAGATAAAGATGTGCAAGGCTGGGGAGAAAATGATCGTGGTGTTTCGTTCACTTTTGGAGCTGATGTAGTCAGTAAATTTCTGAATCGTCATGATTTAGACTTGATTTGTCGAGCTCATCAGGTATGAAATATAAGACTCTTGCATATTTTAACAACATTTGTTAACTTCACACAAGCCCTCTTTTTTTATTTTTGAGGGAACTGAGGTCCAAGAAAGCTAAATGACACATATAAGAAAAGCAGTAGGATAGGCAAAGCCAATATCTATGTCTCACAGTTAACAACCTAATGAATGGTTTGTTAACCTTTTCTCACCCTATAAGAGGAAATGTTTCAAAAAGAATATATTTTTAGTACAATGAAACCCTCACAATTTTCAGTGCTTTTCTGAGCTTTATAGACATGGTCTAGATTTTTATATGGTTCTTATATTTTACGGATAACCATCAAATGAATTGTGTGGGTATTGTTTGGATTTTGGTAAGAAAAAACCACACTGTAAAAAGACGTTTTTGAGACAGTTGGGGAATTTGATTATAAACTAGGTAGTAGATATCTGAGTGTCATTGTTAATTATTTTAGCTGTGATAAAAATCATTATTATTATGTAAGAAGAATGTCCATGTTTTTCTAGAAATGGATAAATGAAACAAATGTAGCAAAATCCTGATAATTATTGAATCAGGATGAGTGTTGAGTAAATGGAGTTTATTGAAGTCTTTATCTACTTTTGCCTATATTTGCAATTTTTTTTCATTATAAAAACCCATCTACAATTTAGAGTTTGAGGTTTTTTCACCTGTAGATCGTACACGCTTTAAGGAGCGGACTATAACTTGTTTATTTTTGAATCTCTGTGGCCTTGTACAGTTACTGGCAATTGTAGCATGCACTTAGTGTTTATTGAAGAAATGAATTAATAAGCAATAATTTATTTAAATAGTTCTTTAATATATCAAGTGCTTGTGCTCTAAAACATAATATAAAAATTGAAAGGCATTTAA